ATATTTTTTTTAAATTGATTTGAGAGAGTAAGGGAGAGGGAGAGAGAGATAGAAACATCAATGATTAGAGAGAATCATTGATCAACTGCCTCTTGCATGCCCCATACTGGGGATTGAGCCTGCAACCCGAGCATGTGCCCTGACCGGAATCAACCATGACCTCCTGGTTCATAGGTTGATGCTCAACCACTGAGCCGCGCTGGCCAGGCATGAAGTTGCCTTTTTAATGCAAAGCATGCTGAGCTAAGAACATGAAGACCTGAACTTTATTTTCACCTTGTCACTAAATAGTTATGTGACTCCAGGCGAATCATTTCATATCTGACTCCTTTCATACCCTTCATGTATGAAATGAGAAGGTGGGGTTAAGTAATTTTTTAGGCCCCTTTAAACTCCAGTTGTTCCTGAGGTAGAGTGAGAAGTATACTTTCATTGATGTTGTTTTTCTAGGTTGCCAAGCTGTCCAAGGAATTGGAAGATGCCAAGAAAGAAATGGCTTCTCTCTCTGCTGCAGTTACTGCTGTAGCCCCTCCCATCAGTGCTACTGTTCCCCCTGCCCCTCCTCTGCCTGGTGACTCTGGCACTGCTATTCCACCCCCACCTCCTCTTCCTGGGGGTGGCACCATTCCTCCTCCACCACCTCCCCCTCCTTTGCCTGGGGGTGCTGCCATCCCCCCACCCCCTCCTTTGCCTGGGGGTGCTGCCATCCCCCCACCCCCTCCTTTGCCTGGGGGTGCTACCATCCCCCCACCTCCTCCTCCCTTACCTGGTGGACCAGGAATGCTGCCTCCTCCTCCTCCCCCTCTTCCTGGTGGTACTGGAATCCCCCCACCCCCTCCATTTCCTGGAGGCCCTGGCATTCCTCCACCTCCACCAGGAATGGGTATGCCTCCACCTCCCCCTTTTGGATTTGGAGTTCCTGCAGCCCCAGTTCTGCCATATGGACTAACCCCAAAGAAGCTTTATAAGCCAGAGGTACAGCTCCGGAGGCCAAACTGGTCCAAGGTGAGAATTTCTGTGCATTTCTTTATCAGTACATCTTCAGAAACCACTTCACTTTCCTACTTTGTACTTTGTTCATGATTGGGCTTCCATTTCTTGTGGCTCACATCTCTCTGTCTTTAGTGCCACTCATGCATGTGTGTATTCAGCAGGTATTAGATATCTCCTATATGCTAGACATCACTTTGGAAAGTTCTTTGAGCCCAAACTCTGCTACAAAACCTAAACTTAAGTTAGTATTTTTGGCCTCTGAGGATTTGAGTGCCAGGGTAACACACATTTTGATAGTAGTCATTTCACTAATCTACAAGGTACTGATAATTTTGCTGATCTCAAGTCATGGATTAGTGGATACAGCCCCACTACCTCCACCCTCCAGTAAATGACTTCACAGGGGATGTTTGCATTGTCCAGTATTATTCCCACTATGTGTTTGCGTTAACCTTTTTCTTCCAGAAACCAAGTTAAAATAGAGTTTAGGGATTGTAAAAAGAACAAATTTGGCACAGTTAGCCAAATTGATGGGAAAATATGTGATGTAGTCCTAACCAGTTTGGCTCAGTGGATAGAGCGTCAGCCTGCGGACTCAAGGGTCCCAGGTTCGATTCTGGTCAAGGGTATGTACCTTGGTTGCAGGCACATCCCCAGTAGGGGGTGTGCAAGAGGCAGCTGATCGATGTTTCTCTCTCATCAATATTTCTAACTCTCTATCCCTCTCCTTTCCTCTCTGGAAAAAATAAAAAATATATATTTAAAAAAAATATGTGATGTAGAACAGGGGAAGATGTGAAATAATGCCTTAATGCTTCTAAAACTAGTGGGTTTGAGGTTAGAAGGATGATACGTAGCATAACTTGAATAATCATCAACAAACACACTGGAAGCATCATCTGATTTCATCATGAAGAGCACAGCTGTTGTCTGTATCACAGGTCCATCTGATTCTGGTATAGACAGTGCTCATAATCAGCCAGCCACCTCTTGCTTCTTAATCAGTTTTCTAGGATCGAAAGTACAGAACTCAGCTTAGTAACTGTTAACACCCTGCCTGTATCCACAGTTTGTCGCTGAGGACCTTTCCCAGAACTGCTTCTGGACAAAGGTGAAGGAGGACCGCTTTGAGAACAATGAACTTTTCGCCAAACTTACCAATGCCTTCTCTGCGCAGACCAAGAGTGAGTCCCTTCCTCATCCATGCAAAAAGGGCCAATGTAGTATTTAGAATATCCTATAAATGGGTTTCCCATCCCTTTCCCTTCCCTGGGTGAGGGTTGAAGAGAGATGGGATTTCAATTTGGAAGAAAATAAGATGTTTTTATGTTTTGGGGATGCTGGGTTTGTGAAAGAGAATTGTTGTATGTAGGTTGCTATTTCTCCACGCCCTCCCCCAGTTGTTTTGCATGTAGGTATTTTATATCATTATAACTTGTGGGGATATGAGATAAGGTGACAGCTCAATCTGGCCCCATTTTGATGATGCTCTTGAACCAATTCTGGCACTGCTGTTAAGGTACTACCTCCAGACCTACCTACATAATTGATGAGGGTTGGGCAGAGTCTTTATAGGTCAGGTGGTTGGGCCTACTGTCTGCAGTAACAACAAACCATGTGTGATTCCTTTTTTTTCTTCCATTTTTCTCCAATATCTGATGCTTTCTCCATCCTGGCCCTTTGCTTCTGCAGCATCAAAAGGTAAGTATATAGAAGGGCCTTTTTGTTGGATCTCTTTAATATTAGAGAAAAAGTGAAACAGATGTAAAGGAATTTCTCTTTAGAAAACTGAGACTAAAGATTGGGGTTGATTTATCTTTTCCTAGTATTTTTTCTTTTTTTGAGAGTACAGGAGAACCAGTAGCTGTGTTGTTAGCTGTCAGGGGAGAAATTAGGCTACCATATACTTATTCTGTCTTTGGAATGTGAGGGACACATTAAGTAATAATACCATTATCTTACATTTGTGTAAATTGGCACACTGTCTTAATTTCAAGTTCTAGAAACTTCAGAGATGAGGATTCAGAGAACCCAGATCTCAACAGTGTGAAAGCAAGGTTTACTTTGCTTTCTGGTGCTTTAAACATGTCTAGTATAACATTTCAGAACATTCCTCCTTAATTTTTTATAAGTTGGTAACCAGTTGCAGTTACCAAGTCTCTTATTCATAGTCTTACTCTTGATAGTATAATTAAATGATAGATAAATACTCATTACTATATAAATATTCCATCTTCAGATGAAGAAGTAGAGACATGGCTTAAAAACTTTTTTGAGGCCATTATAGTATGTGCCAGAGCCAGGGTTCACACTGCAGACTGTGCAACTCCAAGCCCTTGCTCTAGCCTTGGCTTCTCAGACATGTATGTCTCTGCCCTGAGAGCTTCTGAGAATATAGATCCAGACAAAGCTGGAAGAAGGGATACACTGGCTTCTGCAACACTTCATTCATTTAGGCACAAATGTCCTTGAATTGACAGTGACTCGCAGGTACAAAAAAGATTAGATTAGGGAAAGTGAGATATCGGATATTTAGTGTTGAAGGGGAGCCAGATTCTGATTACAGTATATTCAACTGTAGCAAAATTAACCCAGTTGGAGAAATAAGACGTGCTTATCTAGTTCTTGTAGAAGCCCTACTTAGATGATTTCAGCCCAGTAGCTGCAGCTTGATGAGGAAGTTATTTGGACACTAGGTTTTCATAATATTGCATTATTTCCTCTCTCACTTGCTAAATGCAACTCCTCTATTTTAAAACATGCCTGTATCTCTCTTATATTTTATTTCTACCTAAAAGTTCTCATATACCTCCTGGCTTCTCCAGTATCAGGCATTAAAGAAAACATCTGTCTCACTCTCTACATCTGCCTCCTATAGTTAAAGGTTTTCAGCCACTGGCTTCATTAAGGTTCAAGAAGATACGTACCTTTTTCTAAGAGGAGAGCTAGGAGAGAGGAATGGTCCTCAAATTTATACAAGTTCTCACATTTTTCTCTCTCAAGGGTTATTCTCTTATTTCTGAACTCTTGACTTCCTATAAATCAGGAATTTACTTAGTTGATTTATTTGTTGCCAAGAGTTCAGATTTGATAGACAGTGCTATAAAAGGTCTAGTACTTTCTCATTTTCCTTATGATGATCAGTAAGGAGTCTTTATCTTGGTCTCTTTGTTGACTCTGCTTCTTTAATTCCTTGGGAACATGCTCAATACTGTAGTTAACTTTTTTTCATCCTCTCCTAGGGAGCATTGTTATCACGGTGGTGGCCTCAGGTCATTATCTGTAGTATGTACAAGATAACTAGCTTTTCATTCTGCTTTCTTCTAACTCTTTTGTTGATTACGCGATCCCATTAAAACTATTATGTTTTAAAACAGTGTGGTAAATGATAACTGATGTTCTTTTTAGGTTTATTACTTTCTTTTAAAAACCTTTTGGGTTCTTAAGATCCACGAACTAATGCCCCTTTTTAATAGTTGTGAGGTGGACGATATATAGCATTGGATTGTCTCTTTCTGTTAAAATATGAGGTGCATTATGGGAACTGTGAGCATAAAACAGTTCTCCAAGTGGTTAATGACTGAATTAGAAAGAACTCTGACAGAAAAGCAAGATCTTGACCAAGAGCTGAGAATTTCATAAAAACAACAGTATTCTAGTTAGGATAGAACTGTGTGGGTCCAGATCCCAAGGTTTGTGCTGTTGTCCCACAGGTCAGACTGCTCACAGCTGTGGCTAGGTTTACTTGTCCTGCTCTCGCAGAACTTTCATGGCTCAGGCTTTAACAGGAGTCTGTGGTGGGGAAGCAAGCTCCTCTTTCCCGAAAGGGATCCAAGGGTCTTTTCCCTTTTCCCTGTGATCCTCTTCTGTCCACTTCGTGGCACCCACCCAGTTGGATCTTTATCAGGAAATGTCCTCGTGAATCTTTGTAGTCTCTGCAACTTGAACCTCTAGAAACAAGATTTTGTAAGAGCTCAACATGCTTCCCCTTACTCAGTGAGTCTTTCGGCAGAAAGATGTCTGTTCTGTCAGTTTCTTATGTCTCTCAAGTGTGTGGAATTAGAACAAGAGAACATTTTGGGGGGTTCTTGTCTTTTATTTACTAACTTCTCTTGAATTTTGAGTAGAGTCAGTGTGTTAGCACAGAGAAGTCGAGAGGTTCTGTAATATCAGATAGTATGTCTTGTAATTTATAAATCTACTCCATCACTTGGGGTTACAAGGAGTCTGATAGGGGAAAAGCGATTATCTGCTTTAATCTGACTAATGAGATTGCACCAGAGATTTTCCTTCATGCTTTGACCTACCTCATCTGTAAAATGAGGTAGATGGACTTAAAGATACCTTTCAGTTCTAAAATGCTGGTTCTGTTATATATATAACTTTTTTTTCTTCTTGCATAAGCTGTCTTTGGTGTTACCTATCATCATCTCAGATTCTTCTTTTGTTTTGACAGCTTTCTAAAAAGTTCTGTGTTTTGTTTGTTGTGTTCTGAATTTCTTCTTTTTCCATGCACTGGTGGAGATTTAAGGGAGAGTATCATCAGATAAAGATAATTAAACTTTAATTTTCTCTAAACTGGAGGAATTTGATATATCTATCTGAAGTGTGCTCTTTCTCCTTTTCGCCACCAGATGGCACATGGATCTCTTCTATTTTAGATGTGTCATTGTTACGTCTGTTAGTGACGCAGTCACGTTAGAGAGAGGCAACCTCTGTTGTTTTCAAATACAAACTGCTTGGTATGCTGCCCTCTACCGTCTGGAAAGGCGTTTGGAGGACCGATAGTAACATTAAGACAGGAAGTTATACTGGCTGTTTTCAAAAGGATCTTGTCCTGCACAGCTAGTGTATTTAATCAGAGCAATTTAGTGTTCTTTTGGGAGCCTGGAGTCTGGAGAATGTTTCTTGTTTTAGTCCAATAGTTTCATGAAAGCATAGCCTTCCTTTTAGAGTGCTTACATAGAGAGCCATACTTTATTAGCTTGGTAGTTCATTTTAAATGTTTATAACTCCATTATATACACATTCATACTTCCTCTCTGTCTCAGTTTCTACAGAATAGCTACTTCAAGCACATAATAGAACTATCCACTGATTATATACTGGTAATTTCCCAGAGATACTATATTGAATTTATTTCTTTCAGGGAATTCCCCTGGCCTACCCTGGGTAGAATTTGCTAGTGCAGAAAAGTTTTTACAGTCAACCCTTCTGTGACATTTGTTGGCTTCTGACTATCCCAAGATAATCTCAGTTTTAGAGCCTCCTAGCTATTCAAACTCAAGTGTGCCTGTATTATTATTCTAGACATATGTAGACTGAAATTATCTTCTAAACCCAACACACCACCCGCCATTACCTGCAGATTCTAGATCTGATTTCTGACAAAATGTCCTTTTTACATGGCATTGTCTGAGACTTAGATCATCTCTAGGGGATCTGTATTGCCTAAATTTCTGTCAGCTTGATGCAGTTAGTTCCTACATTTAAATGTCTGTTTCTGCCAGTAATTTCCAACCTTTAGTGTACATAAGGATTACAGGAAGAACTTGTTAAAAGTCCAGAGAGTCCAAGTTACAAGGACTGTAGACAGGTGTGTGTGTGTGTGTGTGTGTGTGTGTGTATATATATATATATTTTTTTTTTTTTTTAAAAGGGGCCGGACCCGGCCCGCGGGCCGGATCCGGCCCGCGGGCCGGATCCGGCCCGCGGGCCGGATCCGGCCCGCGGGCCGGATCCGGCCCGCGGGCCGGATCCGGCCCGCGGGCCGGATCCGGCCCGCGGGCCGGATCCGGCCCGCGGGCCGGATCCGGCCCGCGGGCCGGATCCGGCCCGCGGGCCGGATCCGGCCCGCGGGCCGGATCCGGCCCGCGGGCCGGATCCGGCCCGCGGGCCGGATCCGGCCCGCGGGCCGGATCCGGCCCGCGGGCCGGATCCGGCCCGCGGGCCGGATCCGGCCCGCGGGCCGGATCCGGCCCGCGGGCCGGATCCGGCCCGCGGGCCGGATCCGGCCCGCGGGCCGGATCCGGCCCGCGGGCCGGATCCGGCCCGCGGGCCGGATCCGGCCCGCGGGCCGGATCCGGCCCGCGGGCCGGATCCGGCCCGCGGGCCGGGTCCGGCCCCTTTTAAAAAAAAAAAAAAAGACCGTACCCTTTTATGTAATGATGTTTACTTTGAATTTATATTAGTTCACACAAACACTCCATCCATGCTTTTGTTCCGGCCCTCCGGTCCAGTTTAAGAACCCATTGTGGCCCTCGAGTCAAAAAGTTTGCCCACCCCTGGTCTAGAAGCTGCTCTCTACTTTTTCTTGTGATAACACTTTTATGTCTGTGTCAGAGTAGATAATGTACAAGTATAATCTTTGTTTTTATGGATGTCATGCCAGATCACTTTGGAAACAATTTGACATTGTCTACTAACTACTAACATTTTGGAAGCTGTACTTCAAGGGCACTTGCTTCTACAAAATTATTTTCTTGCTATTTTCCCAGCCAGGTCTCAAAACATCTTTGGAGGATGTTTTGAAGAAGTTCTCTGGAGTCAGTGAAGTAGCTGGGACCCACTTAGAGATTGACTGGGCTGGAGAGGATGGATGGAGTGGGGATGATTAGAGGTCTCTCAGGCTTTTACAACAAAGATGGAGTTGATGAGAAACTGGAGGAAGTACAGATCATGATGGAGAGTGTTGTGGCTGT